CCGGCAGTATCTTATGAGGTATCCTTCGGTACACTGGCTTACAAACGGCTCCTGTCATTAGTTCTATTTTGTGCTCCAATCAATCACAAAATCCATACTCGTCAGCTGCAGTAGAAAACAACTCAGAATACTTTTCAACGTATTGCTTAACACACGGCATTGAACACTCCGAAATGGCCGATTTCCTCACAACGCTGACGCGGATATGCGATTATTTCCCCGGGTTTAATTCTGGTGCTTGCGATCCCACGAGCAATTTACCTCCCACTCAATCAATCATCGCGCCTGAGCAGATCGGCACCGATTATAATCTCGCTCGCACCTTCGATCAAGAACATTTCATGGGTGACGGTCACCCCGCCAATCTGCTCGCTGACACATTGTTTACCCAAGACTGAGTGGCATACCCCCAACCGCACGTACGCTCAGATTGCACGGTCTCACCGGAACCACTTCCACCCGAGGCATAATGGAAATCCCGGCACCCGTATCAATCACAGTCATCTTTGACCATCCCAAAATGAAAACCTCGAACCTTGGAACCCCATGGGAAGTCAGATTAGAAAGATAAAAACACGAATGAATGCGGTGATTTGGGCAAAAACGGGAAAAATGTCCCATACCGTTGCAAGTGAAACCGTTTTGGTCGAACTTGAGCCCTGAAACGTCTCCTTTCTTGTGATCCTCCCTTGAGTTCCTCATTCAATCTTTTAATTTCTTCATATATTTGTTCAATATTACCTTCAGTTTCGGCAGGATCCATCCCAGCAACCACGTCATCTTGTTGATAGGCTTGCGCAATCGAAGTTAGGCGGTCCGCATCATTCACCCCGCACACCACCGCAACCATCAGTTTGTCTCTCATCTGTGGCGGCATGCTTTGTACGAACCGGTTTTTGGCCAGCCTCTCCCGTGTTTCATTGCCTGCCTCCGGCAGGCCCAGAGAAATTTGACGCTTCATTTATTAGTAGTGCACCAACGGGTCCTCAGTCCGGTTTTACTCCTCAGCGTAAAACCGGTGCACAGTGCTTCTTACCCTTCTTCAGTGATGAGTTTCCACGGATAGTATGACCGTCAGTAGAACTAACTCCATTGCTTTCTCTCTTCCCGCATCATTTAATCCTACATTCTCAAACCAAAATTGACCACCGCCAACACCAAATTATGAGCTGTTAACAACAAACAGCACATTTCCGAGACCAGATTTGTTCGCACCTTAATACGTCCAGTCAAAAAAATTCCTCAGGGACATATGCACCTCAGACAATTAATGGTGTTATTTCTATTCGTGCTGTTTTCGCAACTTTTATTTGAGGCATACGATTTTGGTCCAGACAATACAGGTGGGCTGGCACAAAATAACCGTAAAACGTGTACAGATGGGATACGAGACAGATCACAATAATGTAAGCGGAAAATAGCTGTGATATTTGTGGCGCTATCACGACATCCGGCTGTTTGTGAAGGATCGAGTGTATGCTGCAGTAGTTCGGTCAGTGCTGCTATACGGTGCAGGACTTAACAACTAGGGGCACAAGATGAAAGTAGATAATCGGTTTTCGGACACCGCTGTCCACGTCGCATTGGAGAAGTGTGGTGGGGAAACCGCACAAACAATGCTGAGGTTAGGCGTAGAGTTTTAGGTAATCGTTGTGGTTCACTGGATCAAGTGGTCGACCTCCATAGATTATTCTGGTCGGGACATATGTTGCGCGGGTAACTATGTAGGTTGCCTCGGTGCACGATGTTTGCCGAGGCAGGCAGTGAATGGGAAAAGTTCAAGAGCAGTCACACTTAGATCTGGGATGAGGATGTGAAATCCCTATGCAGGAGACTGGGTCACATCGGTACCGTTAGGTTTCCTGGATGGGGACTCCGAGATCATGGTCACCGGTGGTTATAGACACTGAGTAGCGCTGGGGCATTTACTCAATAATCTTGCAGCACCAATCTGTATGAATTCTCTATCTTCACTCTGACACTGTCCCGAACATTTCAATTCATTCTACTTTTTTCTCCAAGTGGGCGGTTAAAAGGCAGCGGCCGAACCCGGTTCACGAAAATGCATGTTTAATGGTTTTGAAAACCGAACTAAACTGAACTGTACTGTGGCGTTAAAATATCTTTGAGTATTTCAGGATTATTGACTGAGGGTTTGAAGTTTATCTTTCATTTTTCGGTGCTTTGCCCTCTATCTCATCGGAATACTGGTTAACCCAGGGAGAACCTATTTTGAACACCCCACGGTTCTTAATTTATGAATTATCTGTATCAGAGGGATTGACTGAAAAGCTCAATATCTGTCAGGACGTGCACACCTACCTGACTCCGTATTATCATATAAGGATTTGTGAGTAATATGTACGGGGAACCCCAACATACAAGATTCACCGATTAGATTTGTATGTCAATTGAAGTGCGTCATATGGAATCATTATGTGATCGTAATCCTGCAAAGACAACCTTCTCAGTCACTTTCATCTCAGTAGAAGTGTGACCTGTTGAGCGTCCACTTTTTGTGGCCTTGGAAATAAAAACGATAGTGACAAACATTTACTAGTATGGAATTGCCCAGTAGCCTAGAGGCTGGTTCATAATGGATGTCATCACCTCAATCAAAGGACCCAGCTCCATATCACAGAAATGCAACGATAAGGTCAGCTGGGCTCGGAGCAGACGGTTCTGCCTAGACTTCGCAATTTTACGGTTCAATTGTAGTAGTTTATCAGGAAAAATATGAATGTTAACATTCTCTATGTAGTGTCCAGCAGACAAAAGCGATGATGACTCGTGGTGGCGAATCGTGCGTGTATTTCCCACCGGCTGTTGATCGCTGAAAATAGTCAGTCCCGTGATGGATGGATGTCCTACTAGCTGGGATTCCCACATTTTGATCAGCACTCAAGTTTCATCTGGTTCCTACTGAGCTATGTATAAATGTCCCTCCGGAGTACTCGGTAAGCATTTCTCATTCGTCCCCACTCTCTCTCTCCTTAACTCGCTCAGAGAGAACCAAAAATATTTGGGTGACTTCCGTGTGGTGCTTATGGAGACGGTGAACTACGAGCGAAAATCGGCCATGGTTTTGAATGATTTTGATGGAAACCCATTCAACTCCTGGATGTCAAAACGCCAAAACAAGGTGATCCAACTTTTGTTTTGTTCTCGATGGAAACATCAGATAATGTGTTGTGATAGCTGTATGTATGTATTTCAACAATTATTCGGATGCTTTGAGAGTAGCCAGTCAAATTTTCCGCAACCTAGACAGTAATCAACTAGTGAACCTAATGTAGTGCTGCATTTGGAAATAGACTGAATGAGTATAGACGATACACGAACTAAGGATGCAACTTATGAGAGCAAGAAGAAGCATCATGATCAAAGAATGTATGGAATTCAAATATTTCGCGCTAGTCTAATCCCCGTGTCCATACAGTCAGATCGCGTTTGGTTGCACGGAGTGACAGGATCGAAGACCATTGAACCAATGGCGGAGAGGCTGGCCAAGAATGCGATCTGTTGATACAGGTGGTGAAGAGCAAATGATCATCGTTTGGTTGGAGCGAGAATTCTGTCTTAAGGAACCGACAGGCCTGTTTTCGTCGACCGACTACAACAGCACGTTTTTCGCTAAATCAAACAGGGATCTGGCGGCCTGCAATGATTGAAACAAACGGTAACCTAGATATCGCGAGATCGTGTCTCTGCGACTGTATCTGTATGGCATGCGAGTGTGTGTGAGCGAGTGAACGAGAGTTAATAGACGGGGATTACATGTTGTGTTAACCGAGTCGATAAAGCTCCGAAAACAAGCTTCTTTGCTAACAACACCTTTTCCCTTCAAGCTTTAGCCTCGATCCGTAATCCATTAACCAAAACTCACAATCCTTCAGCCTTGACCTACAGTGCGACTGCTCCATCGCTTTCGATCGTCTCGTCCCTCTCACCGGTGACTTTAAGCAAGTAAATTTCCTCTGACCCCTAAGACGATCTGATTGGATCGTGTTCCGCGATCTGCGGCACTTAAAATCTCTCACCCCAACACAAGACTGTTTGATTACCGGCTTGTACGTTTTGTAATGCTCTTGTTGTTACGTCCAGTCCATCCGAGTGCTGATGGTACTCCTGCTACATAGTCGAAGTTCAATGGGCCTGCCTGAGACTCACAGCTGTGTGG